TGGCCGCTTGAATATCCTCCTTGGTGAAGTGTCTATTCATGTCTTCTGCCCATTTTTTAATTGGATTGTTTGTCTTTTTGTTATTGAGGGGTTGGAGTGTTCTATAAATTCTAGAGATAAGTCCCTTGTCAGATATTCAGTCTACTCATTTTATAAATGAGAATATTAACTCAGAGAAGGAACTGCCTTACCCAAGGTTCTATAGTCCAGGGTGATAACCCAGGTGTCTTGGCCATCTTCTCAATGATTTAAATATGTGACAGCTATTTTCAGAGCATTTCATTAGCTAAGTGGCAGATTGGCCTTTGCTTGGATTGCTTACAAATTTTTTAAAGACTGTTGAACAACCAGTTACTGGAGAATAAATGGACTCAGTATTTTCAGTGATGTTATCAATTAGGCCCTAGAAGGACAGGTGAATTAAAGAAAGGGAACATGGGAAGCTGCTTTCTCGAAGATGGTGTTCTAGGTGCTCTACATGTATTATGTCATTGAATCTGTACAACAGCCCTGTGGGAAAAGATTAAATGATTGGCAGAGTTGGGCTTAAAACCCAGCATTCTGAGTTTGTAGCCATATTCACTTTGCTATACTGTTTTAGTCTAAAAATCCTTGCTGGTGTAGAAAGGGCTTTACTAGCCCTTCCTTAGGGGCAGCTGTCATAGGTCCAGGAGAATAACACAATACCCTCCTAGTGATAGTACAGTGCTTCTCAGTTGCATGCTGTCGTGTCATTCCAACTTACAGCAATCCTGTAGGACAGAGTAGAACTGCCCCAATAGGGTTTCCTAGGCTATAATTTTTATGGGCACAGATTACTAGGTCTCTTTTCCCATAATGCTGCTGGTGGATCCAGACTGCTAGCCTTACGGTTAACAGCTGAGCACTTAACACTTGTACCACCAGGGCTCCTTTAAATCAGTTGGAGAGCTTAAAAAAAAAAAAAAACCTAGGCCTTACCCCAGGCCACTTGAGTCAGAATCACTGGGGTATAGCCTAGACGTCGATAATTTTTAAAAGGTCATGTATAAGGAGGAGAAAGTGGAACACGTGGCTAATTTGCTCTATGAACAACTGCCTCCTTTGCCATAAGACCAGAACTAGATGGTGCCTGGCTACCATTACTGAACATTTTGATCAAAGATTCTATAGAAGAATACTGATCAAAACGGGGAAAATGCAGAACAGGATTTTAAATTTTCATGGAATCCAAACTTTTGGGGACCATGGAGGATGGATAAACCCCTGGAATTAATGCCCTAAAATCTTTAAACCTTAAACCAACAGTGTCTCCTGAAGCCTTCTTAAAACTAAATAGTAGTTTAGCTTAGCTAATAAAGAATATCTGCCTTAAACGTTATACTCTTTTAAGATCTATCTATATGGGATCAAGGAGCTCTGGTGGCACAGTACCTAAGGCTTTTGACTGCTAACCGAAAGGTTGACTGTCTAAACCCACAAGCCACTCTGGAAAGAAGATAGGGCAATCTCCTTCCATAAGGATTTACCACCTAGGAACCTGATGGGGGTTGCAATGAGTTGGAATTGCCTCAATGGCAGTGGGTTTGCCCTGCCTCCCCATAGGGGATTAAAGAACTCTGGTGGTACAGTAGCTAAGGCATTCATATGCTAACCAAAATGTTGGTAGTTTAAAACCATCAGCTGCTCTGTGGGAAAAAGATGAAGCAGTCTGCTTCCTTAAAGATTCACAATCTTGGGAACCCTATGAGGAAGTTCTACTTTGTCACTATGAGTCACAAGCAGCTTGATGGCAGTGCGTTTGTTTTGGTAATATGGTATCACATTGGCAACAGCAACTCAAAAGATTAAGATCAACTCAAAAGATAGGAACCTTGGGGGCAGTAAGTTTCATTAATGGGAGAGGAACAACTCATTAAAAGGAAGGTGAGAATGGGTGCCCAACTTGAAGAATATAATCAATGTCACTGAATTGTATATGTAGAAACTTGAATTGGCTTATGTTTTTGCTGTGTGTATTAACAACAATAAAACAAAATATTCAAACAAACAAAAAAGAACCTTGTGTATAAGCAACACTAAGAATCTCTGGCCTAATGTTTCAGGGGTTAGATAGAGGAGAGTGGGTTAGGGAAGGATGAGATTGAAAACTTATATTCTTTGATAAAGACTTTCAAGTATGTAGAACCATTAGCAACGTGTACTAATGATTTTCTTCTAATTTATATTTCAGTTTAAATTTGTGGGACTCAAGAATTTCCCATGTACACCTGAGAGCCTTTGTAAGGTGCTATCCATGGATTTCCCTTTTGAGGTAATGAAACCATTGTCTATTGCTCAGATGTGACTGTAGGATAAAGGGAGACTTGGTTACACAGATTTTTTTTTCCCCCCAAGTTCTCTGACTTCCTTTTTTTTTTTTTTTTAATTGTGATTTGGGTGAAAATTTACAGAGCAAGTTCACTTTCCATACAGCAGTTCACATACACTTTGTCTCATGACATTGACCACAATTCACCACAGAGCAACAGCTCCCCTCCCACTTCCTCCTGATAGTTACCACTTCCCTGTGTCCATCCCTCCATGTACTCCTGCCCCCTGAGCTGTCTTCCTGTGCATAAATAGCCCTGTTTTCTGCCATGATTGTTCTCTCCTAGGAGTGTATCTACCTCAGGTACATATTCAACTCATATGCCTGTCTTTTGTTTACCTGGAAGCCACAGATGTGGGTTCAATTCCAGACCTGAAGGGCAGCTAGGGGCCACAGTCTCAGTGGTTCCACCAGGCTCTATCA